GATTATTATAGTAAGCATCGACCTTTAATTTCGTGTAATATATTTTCGATGTCATAATTCGAAAGTTATAAGGTGGCCGATCAAGTGACTGCACCGAGATCTCTAAATATTACTTTAATTTTTTATACAGGCTATTCTAAACGTGACAGCGCATGCATTGTGTAACACTGAAAGATTTTACTTAATAAGAGATAATTATAGTTGTGCACTATTACGATCACTAGCTAATCACATCGGAATTAAAGTTTGAGAACACCCTAAATGTCAAAAGATGGTGTATTGTTTTACGTTCATCTCAAGGTATCGATTATTATTTTAAAAGCTTCGATAATTAAAAATAAAGTGGCTATTTTTCATATCGGTTAGAAATTTGTTGAGAATTTATTGTTTTTTATGTTTGATATGTCATTGTTTATTATGTTTGATATGTAAAAAACTAAAAATAATGCTTAAGCGACCTTCATCAATAGTAATTTTTGAAGAAAAAGATGGTTTGTAGCTTGCTGATATATTGATCGCAATGGCAGCTCACTTGGTTAATTTATTCAATTCCTGACTATTAAAAATTTGCCTCCGATCTATTGAGTGAGGTGCTTGAGAACACCCCAAATCGTTCGATTAACTCATTGAGGGAGGCGCTTGAACACCACTTATATAAATATAATTTTCATATTTAGAATTAATCCATTTTTACTGAACATCAGTTTTTAGCCGATATGCAGTGATACTTCGCACCAGATTGTAGTGCAGAAATATTTCTCGTACGTACGTACGTACTGTACGCACATAAAAAACCGCACTGACGATCCATGGCTTACCTTGGGTCGATGAAGTTTAAGGAAGCTGCGAATTTTTTAAACGAACTAGTTCTTGAGACTCTACATTGTAATCCGCCTGAAGTAGACTAACGCCTTCTGTGTATCTTGTGTATAATAACCTCACCCATACTAACCATTTACGAACGAACATATATATTTCCTAAGTTATACAAGCATATACTATTCGTAAATTTTGATGTTGTAGCTCTTCGAACCCAAATAAGGATTGGTGAGAGTGTTATCTAGAAACACGAAATCTGTGAAAAACAGAGAAAATAACATTACATTCCCTTTTTAACGCACTATTGTATATATGCGTGGGTACCGTTGCATTGCAGATGCCAAAACTTAATTATAAAAACTGAGAGCAAAATTTGGCAAGGTTTACATTTTTATTTACTAACTGAAACTAAGTACATTATTCTTAAATAATGAATACAAATTCTGCGAATAAATATGTTGTGATTCCTATAACTCAGGGAACTCTGGAAAAAGTACGTAAATCCATAAGTTTGCGAATTCTGGAATTTATTTTAATTGTATGTGAAATTATGAAAGAAATTAGATGAGACTTCGTCTAAATCAGCGAATAAAAATAAGAGATATTTCTTCTGGATGAAGATAATAAAGTGTTTGAATGTATTCAGGCATGGAAGGGGAAAAAAAATGATGCCAAGCTTAATGCCGAAACATTACAATCAACTGTTTAAGAGATAGCTTCAAAATAAATACACATTCTTCAAAAAAAGAAGTGGATGTTATTGAAATGATACTCCTTTCCAATAGCCAACGCAAAAATCTCGCAGATGATAACAACAAAGCAAAAAAAGAGTTGTGTAAAAAACTAATCAGAGTGGATGCTATTGCAAAGACACTCTTTGCCGATAGTCATCCAGATTTTATTCTCAAATATCCCATAAAAGATGATGACACCAAAAAAGAGAAGCGCAGGAACTTTATAGAATTTCTTCTTAGAGCAGGACTGGTGATTGAAAGAGAAACTTACGACAATAAGAATGAA